GAAGCAACTGGAGGCTCAGCTTCTCCCGGCACTTCAGGTATTGCAAATGTTTGACGTTAAAGTACCACCTTGGGGGGGGGGGGAGAGAAGTACCAACTGAGGAAGGCTGAACTACCTTCCTCCCAGCAACTCTCCACAGGGCAGAAGATGCAGGGGGGGCACCCCCTGATCCCCCCTCCTTCTCCTGACCCCCCCACCCACCCCAGGCTTCCTACCGAATGAAGGCTTTGCGGACCAGGAAAAGGCGGAAGAAGGGAATGAACTGCATCAGCTGCCACAGCCGGGCCTCCCGATGCCAGTCGCCCAAGGAGAGGGCCTCGGAGCCCTCCTCGGGATGCACGCACAGCACCCCGAAGGGGGAGAAGACGTAGTGCTGGGGCTTGAGCAGGTACCCCGGGACGGTCACTAGGTCGTAAGGCCTGCAGCCAGGGCGGGAGGAGGAAGAGCGCCATGGGGGAAAGCCCTCCGCTACTCCCGGCGGCCCAGCCTGCAGCCCCGGCCCTTCCCAGCCCCGACACGAGCGTCCCTTCCGGCCGGAGCCCGGAGCCGAAAGGGCCCCTGCCCAGCCCGCAACCCCGCACGAGCCAATCGCGCCCGTCCCCGGCATCTCCGCGGGAACCGCAACCGGCGGCTCTCTCGCAAGTTGCCCTCCGGCCGGGAAGGTTGGGCAGCCGGCCACGGAGAAGGAGGGAGGCGGGCGCTGCCAGACCTCCCCCCGCCCGCAGCAAGCACAAGGGCGGAGGGAGCCTCGGGCGCGACGCGGTACCTGAAATGCCGGTTCGGGGCCGTGTTCAGGTAGAAGAACCGGATCTCCCCCGCGTGGTACCTCCCGGAGAGGACCTCGGCTGCCTGGAGCCCGCTCATCGGGGGTTGCCTGTCCGCCGCGGGCGGGCGGGCGGGGGGAGGTCCGAGACAAGCGACCGCGGCGGACTCCAGAGAGGGGCTGCGGCAGGAATGGGGGGCGGGCAGGGGGGGCCGGTCAGCGGCGCAGGCAGCGCCCCTCCCTTCACCGCCTCCCCCCCCCCTGCCTGCCCCCGGCGGGGCTCACCGGAGGGCGGAGGCGAAGTCGACGGGCAGGGCGGCGGCCAGGGCCAGGGGCAGCATGCCCAGCCCGTCCTCCCAGGGGGCTTCCCGGCGGGCCAGCTGCCCGCCCACCGGCCCCACGCAGCGCTGCAGCTCCGGCAGGGAGACGGGGCGGGGGGCGAGCAGGCCGGCGGCGGGGGCCTCCCAGGCGGCGCGGAACGGGCAGGGCAGCCCGGCGAAGGCCGGCTCCGGGGCGGCGGGCAGGCGGCGAGCCTCGGCGGCCAGGGCCAGGGGCCAAGGGGGCTCGGAGTCGTCCCGCGGCCCCTGGCCCTCTCCGGGGAAGGCCCTGCGCAGCGCCCCGAGGAGGTCCAGGTC